TTATCACCTTGTTTGGGATGGAGTGATAAAAAAAAAAATCTGTATGACTATAAAAGGCTATATTAATGATGACGAAATACAGACAAAAAAATTACTAAAAAGCTTTGCCGCTGTTGTAATCTAGGGAAGGTTACTGAATAGAATAATCAAACGAAGTTTGGTAATAAACGATAATACTTAGGACAAGAACAACACATACAAGATTTGCTAGCGGTGCGTAGAAGAAATAGTCAACCGCTAGAAGTGAGTCAAGTGAATTCGACAATGAATCTCCAACTACAGACCAACATACAGTATCTACTACTGTATTTATGTGAATGGGGACATATCCATTATCATCCGTAGGTGTGCTACAAATATATATATATATATATATATATATATATATATATATAATCAATTGCTAGGTCTACTACTAGGAGAGTTGGTTGTGCTCGACAATTTCCCGAGATGAGACTCTGCCCTTCGCAATAGCGTCATCTGTGGATCCTCTCTGCCCGCAGGCAGAGAGTTTGATCAGCACAGCTAGAGATGAATCTTAAACTGCAGACCAACATACAGTATTTACTACTGTATTTATGTGAATGGGAACATACCTATTATCGTCACTATGTATGCTACAACTTTAACCCAAACCTTGTGAGTAAAATTAAGTGGACGGAACTGTTTGACGATGTTTGTGTTAGCACAAGGTCATAAGTCATTGTGACCGAGGGCTTGAACGTACTGACTTGATAACGTCAAATGATCCGCTCTCTTTTTTAACCATTTCACCTCCAAACAAGGCAATAAAGCCACTAAGACGCAGATGTTTACTGAATGTGGAAAAAAATATAGGAAAAACATTATTAAGGAGCGAGAACAATAAAAGAACAAGAATTAAGAAGACAGAAGATAACGATTGACATTCCATTTAAACTTTTGAAGATCAAGTTTGACTGGAAAGCAAGAAGCTAGAAGAGAGTTCCACAAGTGAGAAGTGCGACGGAAGAGACTGTTTTTAATCGAAGAGCCGAGTTCCAATTCCAGATGGGTTTGTTGTATTCACTTACATGCAAATACACTTGAGAAAGGTATGAATCCACCTTTTCTCCCCCAGCTATGGGTTAATTAGTAAGATTTGTATCATTAAATCATTATTGTTTCTTCCCCCCCCCAAAAAAAATCCTTACAATCTAAAAATATTTTCTGGTATTTCTGTAAAAGGTTGATAAGCCGCAGATAATCAATGAATCAGTCAAATACTGATTACCTACACAGGCATGTCTTTTAGATTTATTTACACTCTCTGGAATATAAATGACTAGTGTTATATTTGATATTCAAAAAAATGAGGGATCAGTTTATATATTAATTGTAATATAGAATTGATCCCCCATTTCATATCCACATTATAATTTCTTGTTTGTCTATCAAATTCTGATTAGGTTTGAATCCACCTCCTCTCCCCAAATCTATGGGTTAATCATTAAGACTTATCTCACTAAATCATTATTATCCCGCCCACAACAAAAATTCATGCAATCTAAATATATTTTCTGGCTTTAAATAACCTGCAAATGGTTGATAAACCCTAAAAAACAAACCAACCAACCAATCGATCAATCAGTCAATCTTACCTCTTGAAATAATGACCTGCATTCATATTTATTTTGTTAAAGTTGTCAAGATGAAATATTTAACGATGTGATACAGGAATTTCCATAGTCTATATCCATATTATAATTTCTTGTTTATCAAATTCAAATTAGGTATGAATCCACCTTTTCTCCCCCCAGCTATGTGTTAATTAGTAAGACTTGTATCTTTAAATCGTTATTATCTCGAAAAGAAAAGTTATTCTTACAAATACAGCCATTAC